GTGCCGCGCCCCAGCTGGCCGCAAACAGGCCGCAACAGAGGCGCAGGCCGAGATGGACCGGCAGGGTGCCGACCGAACAGCGCAGTGATGATGCGATGTGCAAGGCGCGCGCCGACGTCAAAGCCGATACCACATCGGCCAGAGACGCCCCGTAGAGGAGGAAGAAAAAAGAGCGGGGGGGGAACAAGGGCACAATAGAGAGGCGGACCGCGCCCGCAGGGACCGCCAGCCGTGCACGCAGAAATCGCACAACCCCCCGCGGCGGGGACGACCTGGAAGGAGGGGGAGAGGATGGGGACAGAGCGAGCATGGGCAGAGGCAGGCAGGAGGCCCCGAGAGACGACGGCTGCGGGCCCCACGGGGCGGCCGAGCCCACGACCGATCCACGACGGCGACGACCGAGCGAACCCCGCGACCCACGAGGACGAGGAGGAGGAGGAGGAACAGGCGGAGGACCGACGAGCCACCGCGGAGGGGAGCGCCGCTGGCGGGTGGCGGGAGCGCCGCGCCACCCCCGACAGAAGGCAGCACGCCACGGGGCGTTAAGGCCAGGAGAGGCGGAGCGAGGGCGAGTGAAACGCGGGTGAAGCTTGGCAAAACCAGGAGGCGACAGATCGGCGCGTGCCCAGAGCGACCAATCGGGGAGCGACGGGGCACAACAAGCGACCAGTCGGTGCGTGACAGCGGCTGATCGGCGCGTCAACAGGCAAGACGGCGACGGATCGGCGCCTGCCCGGTGCTTGACGAAAACAAGAGACGGCACCGCGGTGCCCGAACCGCGCGCCGCGAGGAAATCGCGCAGGAAGCGCGCGCCATGCCGCCGCGGGTCCGGCGCGTTGCCGCCGCACTGCGCGCGGCGAGCTCTCCGAGCTGTCTTGCTCCAGCACCCCGCCCGCCCGACGCGGGCCGCCGGCTGTTTCCTGGGGGCGCCCGCCGGGCCGGCCAAGGGCCCGGCCGAGTCAGGGCCCTCGGCTGCCTCGGGCGGGCCGGCAGGTCGGGCCTGCAAGGCAGGCGGGGCGCGGGCGCCAGCCAGTTGCCGTCCGCGCGCTGCCAGGGGGCACGGGGAGTCGATCGCGACCTGTCGTGGGGCCCTTTCTGGGCGAGCTCGCGCTTCCCGGACTCCGGATCCGCCCTACTTTGGGGGAATTCGTAAGTAGGGCTTGGAACCCCCGCCTTGCTTTTCAAGCCCCGCTGGTGCCGATGTCCGCCCTACTTTTCTGCTGCTGTTTCCGCCCTGCTTCTGTGGATTTCCGCCCTACCTTATGTTGGGTGCAGAAATGTCCGCCCTAGTTCTTCGGCTTCGTACAAGTGGATTTCCGACGCAATCTTGAATTGAAAAAAGGAAGCCAAACTAGGGCGGATCTGGAGTCAGGGTCCCCTTGGGCTCGGTAGTCCCAGGCGAAGTGGCCCCGCGCCCACGAACCCGCGGGGTGCCGGCCCGCGCCTCCGTAAGATTGGCCATCCGCCAGAGGCCGCCCTGCGCTGGCCGGGCGAGGCAAGGCCTGTCCCCAGACGGCGCCTCCGCGGCGGGCGCGCGGGCCGCGGTCGGCGGCGGGCCGGCGGGGGGCGCGCGCCCGTCGTGCGACGCAGCCGCTGCCGCCCGCGGTGACGGTTGAAAGTCTGCCATCCGCGCCGTTGTCGACAAGACAGCCGGCGCCTCTGATCGCGCGCCTCTGATCTCGCTGGCCGACTCGGGCCGGGAAGACGCTGGCGAGCTTGCAGGAGAGCCCGCGGCTGTCGGGGTACCGACTGCGTCGCCCCCGTGGTCCGCCCACCGGGAACGTCGGGCTAGTTCGCTCGCGGGGCTCTCCCCGCCCTCGCGCGACCGCCCGCGGCCGCGGCGCCGCGGCGGGGCCCGCGCGGTCGCGGTCGGGCGACTCGGGCCGCAGCGGCGCAAAGCGGCCGGGAGCGCTGTCGTCGAGCAGCGATCGGCGGCGCGACGTCGACATGGCCGGTTGTGCAGCATCGAAGAGATTGGCGTGCGCAGGATAGGCAACGCCGCCTTTGATGGGCTTGTTTTCCACCACCACCACCATAAGTAGGAGGAGGAGGAGGAGGAGGAGGAGGAGGAGGAGGAGGAGGAGGAGGAGGACCCCCCTCCCCCTCCAACTTATGGTGGTGGTGGTGGAAAACAAGCCCATCAGCCTTGCCCCTGCACCTCCGCGCGGCCATCCGCCGCGATGCCATCGGGGCCCCAGGAGAGATCAGGGCCCCCGCGCCCATTTGGCATCGCAGGGCGTCGGCTCTGCGCCGACCGCCCCCTCGAAAGCCCCCCTTCGAGGCCCGCCCCCTTCCATTCGGCGCTCCCCTTCTCCTCCGCGGCCGCCCCCTTGTCGCCCCCCTCGCGCCCCCGCCCCTTGGCCCATGGATCGCATCGGGCGCGTGGCAGACCTGCTCAAACGGCAGTGAGGGCATGCAGCTAACAGGGAAATTCCCTCGCTGGCCACGTCGACGAGGCGGCGCAGGGCAAGCCCGCGCAGGGCCTGGGGCGCCGTCGTCG